TGAGGGTCTGGAGAAATATTTTTTCTACAAAGGTCCATGAAGTATAGTAACAGATACTAAATAATAAATTTTGAACTTTTACATGAATAATGCAAACAGAAAATGGACTCTGGCCATGTATTTTATGTAAGATAGGGGTAATTGAAGAAGGAATTTTCATGTGTGTTTTTTTAACTCAGCCTGTAACCTCTTCTGGGTCCCTAGCCAAATCCTCAAAACACTTCCTTCAGACTGGAACTATTTTTGGAGCTGGCATAGAAAAAGCTAGATGCAACAACTAAAAAGAGTTGTTGTGACGATGGAAAGAATTTCTCTCCTGCAGCTGTGCTTATCTGACTGTGTATAAAAGACAGGGACAATGTCCATTTTCCCTATATTTCAAATAAGATCAACTTTTGCAGACAATACAGTTTTATCTTCACTGCCTTAGATTTGAGTAATAGGAATACAATTTTGCTTGATTATGTTTTTTACTACTCTAATGTAGAGCATAAAGTTTCCATTGCTTAGCATATTTGTATTTGTATAGTATTTGCAATTCACAAGTGCTTTCATTCCATTCATCATTGGAGCTCTAAAATATACTCAAAAGCAAGAGTGATAACCCCAAAATAATAGTGAAGAAAATAAAGCTAGTAGAGGTTACTTATCTGAGGTTACAAAGCCTTAAATGATAGAACCACAAGTAGAGGCAAGATCCCCTGACTCCAAAATTCATGTTTAAATATCAGCAGAGAACTGTAAGTAGAGATCATTTCTAATCTCTTATCTCTCTTTGGAATCTTAAACAAGAAAATCCAGTCATTTTTGGGTAGTACTCATGACTCTCAAAATTACGTGCATGTCTGTTGTATCACCATTTTCATAATATCCCTGAGTTGTGCTGCCCCAACATTTATCCATCATCTACTATGTGCCAGGCACTGTTCTAGATGTTGAACACGACTGGTAAGGTCCCTGTTATCATGGAACTTCCTTTGCTCATTTAAATAGAGAAGAAACCTAAGGCACAGAAAAGCAAAATGATTATGAGAGTTAATGAAGCTCTAGAAGCACACACTAGATACTCTAACTTCAACCTCAGCCTCTAAATCACCATGAATGGTAGGTACATCACGCACTATGACTTAAGAACACTCTTAAACACTCAAACACCTTTGTATAGAAATGAGTCACCAAAAGGAATACCTTGGAATTACAGATCCCTTTTGAAGAGTGTGGTACTGCTCCCATTTAACAGATTGGAAAACAAGTGGAGAAAGGTTTAGTAATTTTAACTTGCACAACTTCATGTTGCTGTTAAGTTATCAAACCATGGTTCAAACCCAGGCAGTGTGAGTCCAGAGCCCACCCTCTTAAGCATGTCACAAGTACTGTGTCTCTTATGGCATGCATCACGTTCTTCCATTATAGCCCTCAACTTTTCTCCATTATTAGATTGTAAATTCCCTGTCAGTAGAGAGCATGTCTTACTCAGGTTTGTTAGCACTATCTTCTCATTGGAAGTTAGAGTGCTATAGCATTCCCTAGGATTCTTATTTTGAAAAGTCAAAGATTAAATGGTAATTCAACATGAACCCTTCTGCTGTAGCATGCTAGCAAGGAGTTTTGTCAGATAAGTACCTTCAAGGCTGGCAGAGCTTTGGCCACCTCTATCAGTTTTCAATCTATTAGACCTGTAAAGGTGAGTTTTTCTCAGAATTTGAGCTTTCAAATTGGAATGTTAATACCTGGGATTCTTGATCTGTAGAGCATGCAGTTTCCATAAAAAATCTCTATCCCTGCTCATTTGACAGCAACAAGATCTAATCCTGTATTTAGAGTAAAAAATTTGGATTCCCAAATGATTTCGGCCTATAACTTTGGATAGTAGACTAATCTTTGAAATAATTTGTTCAACAATCCATGTGATGAAACCGCAGTGGGCATGGGGGTGGAGGAGACATCACTTTGAGCCATAGGAAGAAACATTATCAAAGTATTCTTCCTTAAAAAGAAAAGTTAATTTTGATTTTTAATTAATGTTCATCTATAATAATTCTAAATAAGACAACATAAGGAAAATATTAAAGTTTTTACTTTAAAATTGCACACACTAGATTCATTATTTAGATTTTATAATTTTTTAAGTATTCACAAGTTTTCTCATGAAAGTTGTCTTGGTAAAACAAAATAAATATTATCTACCGATCTACTGGAAACAGTAACATATTCCAGAGTTGTTTGCCAGG